GGGAGTCACATTTTCATAATGAAAATCTGACTGGGGAGTCACATTTTAGGGGAGTCAGATTTTCATGGTTCACATGTATTAGAAAATTTAAATAATTACTGTTACAGTAAGGTATGTAGAAAGGATAAACTATAGACTGAAAACAGGTAGAAATGATCACTTACAAAATCTCCTGGTACTTTCCATGCATTCATGACACATCAATGTATATGTATGAATTATAAATTAATTCCCCACATTTATATCCTTCCAGATGAAGGTGAAAAATGAAATGATTATGAACATGTATGGAAACTGAACTGAAAGCCTGAGGACAGCATGACTGATTTCACCTGAGGGTTTCTCTGCATCCTGTGCTATTAAAATTCATTTCATGGCATTTTGAGACTGGATCCCAATGATGATACCTTGCAGTTGGTGATGTGACATTGGATGCAACAGTTTGTGCTACAGTGCATCTACAACAGTATACTGAATCAAGGGTGCAATTGTTCCAAGTTCTGGCATATACATTTATGTATATACAAGGGAATTGCATACATAAATACAATTGCTCTGCATTGGATATCAGGTGTATATAACGAGAAAGATACAATGAAACTGTGAATATGAACAGATTAAAAGTGGAGCAGTCGATAACAATGAAGGGCAAGCAGTTGAACACAGTTTGAATCAATTCTCAACTGGAGCTAAGCAGAGTCTAAAGGAGATGTCTGCCTATAAAACTGTTTCACGGGAGGGATTTGAGAAGCCTACACTTGGAAATTCTAAAAATTTTTACATCTAATTGTACTGTTGCTTAGAGACACAAAAATTGGTGTGAGTTTTGAAAACCAGAACTGATTCATATGAATGGCAAAGGAAAAGAATTTCAACATGAAAAAATTCTGGAGCGGACCCATTTTGGCAGGTTTGGTTCTTGTATGTATAGGGCTGTTTCAGCTTTATATGGGGCATATATACCAAATGGATATAAGACAAGATATGAGGAACTTCATCACTCAGTACCTGAACAGTCATCCGACTGATCTACGAGTCATAGTTTTAACCATGAACCAATCTCAATCTCTGCAGACTACACTGACATCTGTGTGTCAAGCAGAATTCCAAATGGATCGCGTTGAGATTGAAATCTGGATAGACAGAAATGAAGATAATACAATAGATACGAGTACTCTGTATGTAGCAAATAGCTTTAAGTGTGATAACACCCTTGTATCAGTGCATGTTCAACCCATACATAAAGGAAGGGATTTCCAGTGGACAAATACATGGAGACCTGCAAGTAACGTAAAAGAAATTGTCCTCTTCTTGCACGACAATACTATGGTGTCGCCACAGTTTTACAAATGGCTGAAGCTTGCCCACAAGCAGCATGCATCAAATCCGAATATCTATGCTTTCCTTTTGGGCAATGGGTATATCACTCGCCAACTGATTTACAATCCAGCATTCTCCACTTCTTTGCATGACAATGAGTTGCATGGCATGATCCTTCTGGAAGGATTTTCACCAAAAGCCAGGCATTGGGAGGAATTTTTACACTGGTATGACATGAAAAAGCAGCAATCAAGGATGAAAATCAAAGATTCTGAAGAAAAACAAAAACTTGACAATTTGCAGAGCATGCAGGGATTTCAGCAGAAAAAAAGGAATGCTGATGATAAAGTTGAATACTATCTGACCAAAGACAAACAAGTTTATCGCATGATAAATAGAGACAAAAATTTTGAACTTATAAGGGAGGAAGAAGAACCTAGTGACACGCACAAACTATGGGAAATTGAACTCCTTCAATTTGCAAATCAGAACAAATGGTACAGTATTTTCCCCGAAAACTCAGACACAGCACTAGCAACATATTTTTACATCGCTGAAAACAATACTGTAATTGAAAAAGAGGTAGAACTTCTTTATGATTGGGAGGAATGAAATTGTAAGTTCATACAGCAAGGTAAAAATCAAGGACTTTCAAAGACTTTTGAGGATCTCATTCAAGTACTTATTAGTAAGGACTTTTTGAATGTACTAGTAAAGTAGGGCTACCATAACTTAATAGTTGTTGTTATTCATAAAAGATTTCTTTCTTTTTTAACTAAATACATTATTCTGTAAAGTTGTATTACCTTCAGTAAATTCATTTTTTTCATATTTCATTCATTTTTAACAGTCCCAACTTTTTATAATTTTTTTTTTATTTCTTTAATTTTTCCCCAGAGAAAGTTTGTTTTTTTCTAACTTTTTGTCCAAGCTGTCAGAAAAAAGAAAGTGTAGTAACCCTGCATGTCTCTTTTTTATCACATAAAATGATTTTTGAGTGCCACATTAGTCAAAAATATTGTACAAAAACTATCATAATTGTTTTATAAAATCTCCATATATATCCCATCTACTAAATAGTAAATTATGCCATTAAGTTCACTCTACCAGTATAGGGTATACATGGGAATTTTATGAAATTCATTTAAAATTACTAAAACTATTTGATCAGATTATTTGCACAATGGTTAACTAATGTGACATTCTGCAGTTTTTTTGCTTTTTTTGGTTATTATTATTATTATTATTATTATTATTTTTTTTTTATTATTATTTTTTTTTTTGGGGGGGGGGGGGTAACAGGGCGACAGCTGAGTGTAGACAAAGCCAAGTTTCTTTTAAGTTCCACCATAATAATTTATGGAGTTTCACTTATCATCTATATTTAGATTTAAAACTACAAGATGTGCAATATTCTTATGGTTGAGTTCACACCAGTTACAGTTTAAATCAACACTGGTTAAGATATTGTTGCCAAACAAAAAATGCAATTTTAATATATTAAAATTAAATCAACCATTACACAACTGAAGTATACCTGTTCTAAATATATAAACTTCACTAGCTGTAAACAAACTCTAAAATTCATAATCATGCATGTAGCTGGCTTTCTGTGGTGAAAGATGCGATAAAGAATTTTGGTTGAGACATCTAAATTTTACATTGGAAAATACATGTCTTTTGAATGTATGAAATAAAGTGAACATTGTGCTTGGAAAAAAATGTTAGAAGCTAAAATGTTTTGAGGAGCATTAAGAACCAATCCCCCCCCCCTTGTCCCCAAGTCCACCATGCTTTGCCTAATTGTTTGCTTGTTGTTTTAAAGCCTGGGACCACATCTCTATTGTATGTGCATATAATGAGAAAGAAGCAGTTCTTTTCATTTGATGCCATTTCAGATTTCATAAAGATTAAAAGATAATTTTAGAGAAACTTTGACGGGGGAAATATCCACAAAGAGTGAAGGGCTATTGCACCAACATCTTGTTGAAAATTTTACACTGCAATTCTATTTTAATAAGCAAAGGAACCAATTGCCAAATTTAGACTTTCATCACATAACAGGGGCATAACCAGACCTGCAAAAATTGTACGCACATATTTTAAAAAATTCCAAGCACGTACAGCAAAATGTAAACTAACGCAAAACAGGAAGGGCAGCGTAATCACAGCAAATGAACCACATATAGTAGCTTCATTAATTTCCATTAATAATAAAATCATCATTTAAGTCAAAAATATTCTCGCGATTTAATTAATATTCTAATTAACCCATAACGGTATATTTATTTAAAAGGAACTGAAATATAGTTTTATTATTTGTTTGTGAAAATTACCCATGTTACCCTGTTAGTTTGGAGGTCTAAGCTGGATCAAGTCCGTGTTAAGATTCCTATGAAGCTCTGCAGGAAAAATTCTTCCTTTGTTTCTCTAGCTCCTCAATAAACCTGGTGTTCAGATTTAATCTAGTACCCCCAGGTCTGCGGGAGCTGCTCTTTGAAACTAATGCACATGTAGATTTTTACCTGAGATAAATATCACCAGCGAGAGTGCGTTCGATACTCGCAAGACAAAGACAAGACAAAGGAAGTTCCAGTTAGATGGATGATTAAGATAGGACTTGTAAAGGTAACAGGCATTGTTTACCTCAGTTTAATAAAAGTATGCAAGACGGGGTGTCAGCAGTTTAATAAAATAAATTGAATTTCTCAAATAACATGGACCTCATATGGAATAATCAACAGTACCCTTAAGTCATTCAAATGCAGTGTTTTATACAACTTGGGATAAGCATAATTAAATGCTTGTTAAAGAATTGAATAGACGGGAAATGGTTTTACACAGCTTCACGAGGATTTAGACCCCTCGGGTAAGAGATTTGAATGAGTATAAACTTTTATCAGAAGCCAGAAAAGTCATCTTACAGGTAGACAATGCAGCTGAGTTCCACAGCTCCGCCGGTGGCACGATTGTCGTCATCGGACCACGTGACAACGTAGCTCATTAACTCCCAGGCCGAGCAAATAGGACGTTTTTTAAAGTCCAAAATTTACAAAATGAGCTTTTAATTTGTGTATTTGGATAAAGATGTTGTTAGTTGGGCATGTTTTCTGAAGAATATGTTCCGTTCGGGCCATTCTGATGCCATGACCATTGTCCTTTCAAATTCAAGAAATGTGAAGAAAACCCATTTCCAAATCAAAATATGTTCTAAAAGCACCCCACTTGCCCCTATCAAGTTTATCTGACATAGAATAGAGCAACTCATTGATGATATCAAAAATAAATCATCCAAATTTGCCAGTTGACTTACAGTACTATTATGCTGCCTAAATAAAAAGAATGGCACAGAATTAAGAATCAAGAAGAAAACGATATATTAATCAACGTTACCTCAAAGAAAACATATTGGCCTGTTTTTACCCTCAGTTTCAGTCACTTGGGTTTTGTTTGGTTGTTTTAGATATATATTTTTTTTAATTGTTAGAATCAAATCAGTGTTGTTAGACAAAGTTAATAACAAGGTAGTGAAGACCACAGTCCTTTTAAATAAATAAATAAATAAATAAATAAGGGAAAAAAGGTTCACAAACTCACCTGGGTCCTCATCCTGCTCATTGATGGTGTTCTCAGTGAGTGCGGTGTTGGACTTTTGAAGGGACAGAGCACTCTCCATGTCTTTGACCAGAGACGCTTCCTGTTCTGTGATTGGGTAGCTTGCAACATCAAATCCACTGTTAGGAAAAAAAATAAACAAATTTGATAAATTTTTAATGAAAAAAAAAACAAAAAAACAAAGAGTGTAAACATATTTACCAAATGAATGGTTATTTCAAAAGCATATTAAAAGGGGAGTATGTTGTGTTCAAGAGTTCCAAAAAGGTAGCTGAGTTTCACCTAACAAGACATATTTAGAGTTAGTGAGTATCCAAAACTGATAAATTGTGATATAAAATATTGAAGTTTGTTAGTGATTATAAGAAAAAAATAGATAAACAAACAATCAAATAAATAAACAGTTACTGATAAGCAATAAAATAATTATTCTGTCCCAGTGCTAGTGTCGATGCCTAAGGACATTGAATCAACTGATATTTTACACTTTGTAAGTTCCAAACATGGTACTGCCTCCGGCACAAAATGTTTTGATCAGAACTGGGACTTCCCTGTGGCATCATTAAATCAGAATTTTCACCACTGCATAATCATTAACACCCACAGTTTTTATATGAATGTCTAGACGAAATATATTTAAGTATGGCGTTTCAGTTTATGGCATTTCAGTTTATGTGCCCTCTGTGTTTATGTCCCTCCCTTCCATTCCCCTGTTTCCTGCATAGGCTATGCTCTTATAATTCATTTTAAAATGATAAAGACAGAATAATAAGAAATCCTGTAAAAATAGATAATATATGAAAGACTGTAACTAACAAAATTAGACACTTCACTGAAAAGCCCTGAAAAAATCACACTGACAGACCCTAATTTGAAAGCATTCAAGGCAAATATCTTAATATGTCTGAAGTGATACATGTCAGGGGCGGATCCAGAGCTATATACTGACAGTCTTCCAAATTATCTTTGTTGATTCATCCTCCAATTTTGACCGTCTTCCAACATTAAAAATTGGATACCCGTCAATGTAAACTTGAAAATCTGACCGTCTTCTGGAAGACCCAGAAGACGGCCTAAATCCGCCGCTGCATGTAGCAAGAAAATACACTCTGTAACACCTTAAATAAATTCTCTAACACAATAACATCTGAACCAACCATATTGCTTCACAGATTCACTTCTTTCTTTAACAATAACAGTAGTAGAAAAACAAATATAAATAAAAATATACACACTTCTACAAAATTGTAACACTGCAAATCTAGAAAAAAATTCAAGATGTTGCTTTTTTTCTCTTTTGCCCTTTCTTACCGCTTCATCCATTTTGTGCCCAAAATCTTTTCCAGTTTTTCTCTTTCTCTAGTGAATTAAAACTTTGTTATATAACAAGCAGTGACTTGATCTAGCTGGCATGAAATATATAGAACTGTATATGTTTCCCAAAATGTGCATGTAGTAATAAACTAATGTTAGTAATTTTCTACAATATTAATAAAAATTATAATAATAACACTGTCATTTTCCTAAGCCCTTCATCCTCCAACCCCCACCCCCCCCCTCCCCCCNATTCATTTCATGGCATTTTGAGACTGGATCCCAATGATGATACCTTGCAGTTGGTGATGTGACATTGGATGCAACAGTTTGTGCTACAGTGCATCTACAACAGTATACTGAATCAAGGGTACAATTGTTCCAAGTTCTGGCATATACATTTATGTATATACAGGGGAATTGCATACATAAATACAATTGCTCTGCATTGGATATCAGGTGTATATAACGAGAAAGATACAATGAAACTGTGAATATGAACAGATTAAAAGTGGAGCAGTCGATAACAATGAAGGGCAAAGGAGATGTCTGCCTATAAAACTGTTTCACGGGAGGGATTTGAGAAGCCTACACTTTTACCTACACTTGGAAATTCTAAAAATTTTTACATCTAATTGTACTGTTGCTTAGAGACACAAAAATTGGTGTGAGTTTTGAAAACCAGAACTGATTCATATGAATGGCAAAGGAAAAGAATTTCAACATGAAAAAATTCTGGAGCGGACCCATTTTGGCAGGTTTGGTTCTTGTATGTATAGGGCTGTTTCAGCTTTATATGGGGCATATATACCAAATGGATATAAGACAAGATACGAGGAACTTCATTTCTCAGTACCTGAACAGTCATCCGACTGATCTACGAGTCATAGTTTTAACCATGAACCAATCTCAATCTCTGCAGACTACACTGACATCTGTGTCTCAAGCAGAATTCCAAATGGATCGCGTTGAGATTGAAATCTGGATAGACAGAAATGAAGATAATACAATAGATATGAGTACTCTGTATGTAGCAAATAGCTTTAAGTGTGATAACGTCCTTGTATCAGTGCATGTTCAACCCATACATAAAGGAAGGGATTTCCAGTGGACAAATACATGGAGACCTGCAAGTAACGTAAAAGAAATTGTCCTTTTCTTGCACGACAATACTATGGTGTCGCCACAGTTTTACAAATGGCTGAAGCTTGCCCACAAGCAGCATGCATCAAATCCGAATATCTATGCCTTCCTTTTGGGCAATGGGTATATCACTCGCCAACTGATTTACAATCCAGCATTCTCCACTTCTTTGCATGACAATGAGTTGCATGGCATGATCCTTCTGGAAGGATTTTCACCAAAAGCCAGGCATTGGGAGGAATTTTTACACTGGTATGACATGAAAAAGCAGCAATCAAGGATGAAAATCAAAGATTCTGAAGAAAAACAAAAACTTGACAATTTGCAGAGCATGCAGGGATTTCAGCAGAACAAAAGGAATGCTGATGATAAAGTTGAATACTATCTGACCAAAGACAAACAAGTTTATCGCATGATAAATAGAGACAAAAATCTTGAACGTATAAGGGAGGAAGAAGAACCTAGTGACATGCACAAACTATGGGAAATTGAACTCCTTCAATTTGCAAATCAGAACAAATGGTACAGTATTTTCCCCGAAATCTCAGACACAGCGCTAGCAACATATTTTTACATCGCTGAAAACAATACTGTAATTGAAAAAGAGGTAGAACTTCTTTATGATTGGGAGGAATGAAATTGTAAGTTCATACAGCAAAATCAAGGACTTTCAAAGACTTTTGAGGATCTCATTCAAGTACTTATTAGTAAGGACTTTTTGAATGTACTAGTAAAGTAGGGCTACCATAACTTAATAGTTGTTGTTATTCATAAAAGATTTCTTTCTTTTTTAACTAAATACATTATTCTGTAAAGTTGTGTTACCTTCAGTTAATTCATTTTTTTCATATTTCATTCATTTTTAACAGTCCCAACTTTTTATAATTTTTTTTTTTATTTCTTTAATTTTCCCCAGAGAAAGTTTGTTTTTTTCTAACTTTTTGTCCAGGCTGTCAGAAAAAAATAGGGTAGTAACCCTGCATGTCTCTTTTTTATCACATAAAATGATTTTTGAGTGCCACATTAGTCAAAAATATTGTACAAAAACTATCATAATTGTTTTATAAAATCTCCATATATATCCCATCTACTAAATAGTAAATTATGCCATTAAGTTCACTCTACCAGTATAGGGTATACATGGGAATTTTATGAAATTCATTTAAAATTACTAAAACTATTTGATCAGATTATTTGCACAATGGTTAATTAATGTGACATTCTGCAGTTTTTTTGCTTTTTTTGGTTATTATTATTATTATTATTATTATTATTTTATTTTTTTTTTTTGGG